AAACTGGAAATTTCATCCCCCACGAATCCTATTATATATTCCCCGAGCTCTCACGGTTTTTACCTTTAGGGGTTTTAGAAAATTAAAAAAAGAAACACGTGACAGCAGAAGACCCACCCGGTGTTTATCACCGGTGTAAGATCGAAGGAACCCTGTTTCAAACTTCAAAGCTAACCTTTTTCTTCAGTGGGCTTTCGTTTTCATTTCTCTCTCTCTCTCTCTCTCTCTCTCTATATATATATATATATATATATATATATATATATATATATATTCTATTTTTTCAATCATGTCTGTTGTAATATCATCCATGCTTCAAAAGGAAACATGGAAATTCACATCTAACCAAATCAGTAATTAATGATTGAATCTAATCAAATCACCTAATTAAGGTTTAACTATCAATTCAAATCACCTAATTAAGAATTTACTAATAAATAAAAAATGTATATTGATTTATATTTCTCTAACAGGGTTCATACAGAAATATTCAAGAAATGATTCTTCATCCCTACATTTTGCTCTCTGTTCTTCTTGCACTCATTACTCGGCCATGCTTCTCTTCCAAGGTAACAATGAAATGATTAATACTACGTCGTTTTGCTTTTTGAATTTTATTTTATTTTTATTTATTTATTTATTTTTGCCTTATCTAGTTGTATGTGGTGTACATGGGCAACAAAGGCATTGATGATAGCCCAGATGATATTTTGAGTCAAAACCACCAAATTCTCACTACTCTTCATGGAGGAAGGTTTTTTTTTTTTTTTTTGTCGATTCTTTAATTCGTTTCTCCGTTTTCGTATTTTTAAATCGATTTCTTCGTTTGCTTGCACTTTTCGTCTCACATTGCGGTGTTAATGCAACAATGTACTAGTGTGGAGCTAGCAAAATCTTGTCATGTGTATAGCTACAAACATGGCTTTAGAGGCTTCGCTGCCGAGTTGACTCGACAACAAGCTTCTCAAGTGGCCGGCATGTAACTTCTTGTGTTTTTTTGCTATTCAATGCTGACTAACTGAAATGTTAAATGTCGTTTCAATTTTACTAATACTATTTTGACTTCGGACGTGATGTTTGCGAAATTCAAAACGCGGAAACTGTAGTCTTTTGAGGGAGCTTTCTAATTAATCAAAACTTGAATCAACTAGAGTGGATGTCGGGTACAAAGTTATGCAAATATGCATTACTAAAGTTGGATAATCCAATTTTCGTTATTCAAGTTGGATTAGAAAGCCTAACTGAAAAGAACTACAAATTCCGTGCTTTGAGGTTTTGCCAAATTCAGACTCGAAAATGGTCAAAATCATGTTTGGAGTTGAAAACAGTATTATTAAAACTGAAACGACGTTTATCACATCCCTCAATCAAAACAAGATAAATGACGGAATAGTGAATACTAACTTTGATTGGATGATTAATCGAACTCAGAAATGGCGGGAGTTGTGTCGGTTTTCCCCAACAATAAAAGAAGGCTTCACACTACTCATTCTTGGGATTTCATGGGCCTCGCCTACGGTCAAACAATGGAATCAATCCCGGTGGAATATTTCAATTCGACCAACAACCAAGCCGATGTCATTATTGGTTTTATCGATACAGGTAACTAACTACTCGAGTTTTTGTCGATTATTCTTGAAGAATTTACATATATCGTTATTACAAGGCTTTGGTTTTCGTGCAATGATCTCTTTGAACTATAGACATTGGGATTTTTCGTACCAAATGATCGTTCGGATAATGGTATTTTTCCTCTCTGTGTTGTTTGCTGCTATGCTGAAGTTACCGTTGATATGCAACAGAATACGAATCAAAAAATAAGAGACTTCATTTCATATTTTCTTGATTAAATAAAATATTATAATTTGTTCGAAAATCCCACACCACAGGAATTTGGCCCGAGTCGCCGAGTTTTGGTGATGCAAACATGCCCCCCGTGCCAGCTGGATGGAAGGGACAATGCCAACCCGGTGAAGCATTTAATTCTTCAACATGCAATAGGTTTACAAAATAAAATAAAAAAATTCTATAATCCTTACACTGCCATCGATTTTAGTTCTTCGTTTAAATTTTTTTTTTTTTTTTTTTTTTTTTTTTTGTCTATAGGAAAGTGATTGGTGCAAGATACTACCTAAACGGCTTCGAAGCCGAAGAAGAATTAGAAAATAATAGCGTGTCATTTAAATCGGCGAGGGACAGTGTAGGTCACGGGTCCCACACAGCCTCAACTGCCGCCGGTAGATTCGTAAATAACGTAAACTACAAAGGGTTGGGTAACGGTAAAGCTAGGGGGGCCGCCCCCATGGCTAGGATTGCGGTGTATAAAGCGTGCTGGAAAACCGCTTGCTACGATGCTGACATATTAGCTGCGTTCGATGATGCAATCGGTGACGGGGTCCACATTCTGTCGCTTTCTTTGGGTGCGGATTCGCCCGATGTGGATTATTACAATAACGCCATTTCCGTGGGGTCTTTCCATGCCGTTAGCCATGGGATATCGGTTGTTGCTTCGGTTGGAAACGATGGTAGTATGGGGTCCGCGTCGAATCTTGCTCCTTGGATGATTACCGTGGGGGCTAGTTCGACCGATAGGGATTTTTTATCGGATGTTATTCTTGGAAACGGAGCTCGCTTTTCGGTAATTAAAACTATTATTTTTCGTGTTTTAAGTAAATATTACAGATTTTTCTTCATCCTTCAATTTTTTTAGATAATTATATGCAGGGTGAAAGTTTGAGTGTGATGAAAATGAATGCATCAGCTCAAACGATTTCAGCCTCCGAAGCTAACGGAGGAAACTTTACTCCTGACCAATCCAGGTGAAGCTGAAGGTAGTTTATTAAGGCCTCGTTTGGGAATTAGGATAAGACTTTGATAGAATATAAGGGTTTATTGTATACTACTCTAATTGTTGAAAAAACTAGCAAAAATACCCCTGCGAATGCAACTGTTTTAGCAAACTACAGGGTGGTATGCTAAAAAAAAAAGAATCATGTGGGATTTTTCTAATATTTAATAGTACAAGGAGTTTTCTAGCAGTTCGATATAACACAGGGGTACCAAATGCAGTAAACTCGATAAAATAATAACGGTTAGTGAAATGTTTGGTGTTTAGGGGCCGTTAGCCCCAAATCCACCCTTATTATTACGAGACCTAACAAAATGAATCAATCACATCAATATATTCCCAAACGAGGCATATCATATGTACGTACGCACATTGTATATATTTATCCTCTATGTTGAAATATCTCAAGTTATATTTTACATTGATGTCGATGACGACACTAGGTACTGTTTGGAGAGTTCTTTAGATACGACGAAGGCAAAAGATAAAGTTCTTGTTTGCCTTAATAATGACCCAACCGAGTCGAAACTCGCCAAAGGTGTTGCAGTCAAAGAAGCTGGTGGAGTTGGAATGATTATTATAGACGAACTACGCACAGATTTAGCCATCCCTTTTCCAATCCCGACGTCAGTTGTCGGAAAAAGAATAGGCGACGAGATTCTATCCTACCTAAATAATAATACTACAAGGTTTTTATTTTGTTCTTTCTCTCTCTACTTAGTATGCATTTCTCTTAGTTAGTGCTCGGTTTTCACAGTCTTATTTTAATTCAACAGCAACCACACGTCGAAAATTATGTCTGCGAAGACAGTTTTAGGATCTCGGGTCGCTCCTCGAGTCCAACCATTTTCTTCAAAGGGTCCCAATGCGTTAACTCCCGGAATTCTTAAGGTAATTTTTTTTCCAAGAAAATTATTAATGCTTTTATTTAATGTTGTAATACGAACTTTCGGTTTAATAACTATCGAAGGACAAACTTTGTAGCCCGATGTACTAGCGCCCGGACTGAATATCCTAGCTGCATGGTCTCCAACGAAGGAGAATATCGATTACAACGTAGTCTCCGGAACTTCGATGGCGTGTCCGCATGTAACGGGAACTGTAGCATTGATTAAATCCATGCATCCATCTTGGTCTCCTTCTGCCATCAAATCTGCTATTATGACTACCGGTAATTGAATTTTTAATATCCATCTTACGGTAATAATCGTAATATTACGACATGCTTCACGAAATTTGCATGCTTCGGCTTTTTTAACTTTTTCGACAAAATTTGTATTGTTTAGATATTTATCATATAAATTTTTTTATAATGCAGCTTTTAATGCTAATTTTACCATTTAAACTACTAAACATACAAATAATTTACTAAAATCACACGAATCACGTGCAACGTCTCACTTACTAGCGTTTTTTTAATGTTTCGTAATTTAATATGGTGCTCGTTTGTCAAAGTTTAGACAATATTTTATACTCGTTCGTCACTAGATGAATACATTATCCACAAATTTTCTCCTACATAAATTTTTATTCTAAAGAATCTAACTTCTTAATATTCTTGCAGCAACTACTTTGGACAAGAACAAGAAAGCTATTACAGCGGGTCCCGATGGACGAAAAGCGAACCCATTCGATTTCGGCTCTGGCTTTGTGAACCCTACACAAGCCCTCGATCCTGGTCTAATATACGAAGCAACAACCAATGATTACAAAGATTTTCTTTGTTCAATTGGTTATAGCAATATAACACTTCAAATGATAACGGGAGACAAGAGCACTTGTAATAATCGAACATTTAAGACACCATCCGATCTTAACTATCCATCAATTACGGTTCCGAATCTGAAGAAGTCGTTTTCAGTATCGCGAATTTTGACCAATGTTGGGGTGGCAGAGATTGTGTATGAAGCAGTTGTTGTACCTCCAATAGGTATTAAAGTTAGTGTTGTACCTCTAAGATTAGTGTTTAATAGGGTTGGACAAAACATCAAATTTACCGTAAAATTTGATGTAATTGCTCCTTCGAAAGATTACGTTTTCGGGTCGTTGTCGTGGAGGAATAAAGGATATTCCTTGACCACCCCGTTGGTTGTTCGGACCGGAAATTCTAAGTCCGGTAGTTACATGGTGTAATACAAGTTGTAGTGATTGTGACATTAATAAGCAAGAAGTATTTACAAATTAAAGTATTATTGATTAAAATAAAATAGCCGGAGTTACAAAGTCTGTTTCGATTGGTTTAATTATTTTGTTTCTAATTTTAAATTTCTTTTTGTAGTTGAATCGCCTTTTCGTCGCTTCTGCATTTCCCAAAATTTAGCCAGTTACATGTCAAATATTTTCAGGTTTTTTCTTTTTTTTTTGGGGTAAACTACAACCACGTTAATTTACGAAAAAAACTCCTCTTGTTTGGATAATTATATCTAAGCCTCTCAATTATGATTTTTTTCTTACATAATTACCTTTATGGTGTCAAATTCAACATAATTATCTAGATTTCGTGGAATGTGTTCTAGTTTGTACTTTTTTTGTGTAAAAATACAGTTTTTGATGCACCACAATCTGATATATACAAGCCAAAAAACACATATTATGATCATCTTGCTTCAAAATGTGAAGTTCAAATGGGATAAAACGGGTACAAAAGTGATAATATTCCATATAATCTCGAAAATTCCACTAAATTTGAAACCACAAGGGTGGACGTGTAAGAATATTTATAGTTGAGGGGTGGTTGTAATTACCCAAACAGGAGGGGGTTTTTCTAATTTAACCATACCGTATGGGTGGCTGTAATTTATCCTTTTTTTAAGCAAAATAACTTTTTAGAATTACAGTGACGGTGATACAAAATTACGCACAAATGAGGCGGAAATTTATCGAAATACTTGTTCTCAATTAGGCAGAGATATATCATATGTTGAAATTCGCTCAAACAATAGTTTGTTCGACAATTGCTTCTTCATCTTCTCATTCTGGTTACCAATTGTTTTTCAAACTCTTACAATTCATCGAATCTTTTCGAGTTTTCAATTTTTCAAGTTTTCGATTTGAACCTAATATTTGATAATTCAATTTGATTGTGCATCGATCTTTTAAGATTCATTGCATTTTTTTAGATATGGTAATTAAAGAAATGGTATTTTACCAGTATGTTTTATTCCATTCTTTTACAAGATATATATACACGTAGGTTTTTATCTATAAAAGGAAAATGGATCCTAAATAATTAATATATATATATATATATATATATATATATATATATATATATATATATATATATATATATATATATATATATATATATATATATATATATATATATATATATATATATATATATATATATATATATATATATATATATATATATATATATATAATATATATATATATATATATATATATATATATATATATATATATATATATATATATATATATATATATATATATATATATATATATATATATATATATATAATATTACATAATGAATGGAGTAATATTTGCTGCCAAAGAATCTGCTGCATAATTGTATGTATCAATTATGCCTTGACAATAGCATCTCTTAATTCCATTGATCTATCATGCCCCCGCAAGATTGACTGGCCATTTCGGACGCCAATCTTGGAACGATGTGCAAGAAAATGAAGATGAGGCAGTGGCTTAGTGAGTGAGTCAGCAAGTTGATCAGAAGTGTGAACATGAGAAACACAAAGTTGACCATTGGCGACTTGTTTTCGTACAAAGTGAAAATCAATGGCTATGTGCTTCATTCGAGAGTGGAAAACTGGATTGGAACAGACGTATGTAGCACTTATATTGTCACAATAGATGACCGGAGTAGGAGATAGAGGCACACGTAGCTCTTGAAAAAGATTCATGACCCAATTGACCTTAGCTGCGGTGGAGGCGATTGCACGGTATTCAGCCTCGGTAGAAGATCGAGCAACTGTCTTTTGTTTCTTTGAACTCCAAGAGATTGGGTTAGCACCCAGAAAGATTACATAGGCGGAGGTCGATGTTCGATCGTTAGGGTCTCCAGCCCAATCCGCATCTGCAAAGGCATGAAGAGTTTGAGGGGAATTCTTACGTTGAGCCAGGCCGTAGTCAAGAGTCCCTACTAAATAACGGAGCAAACGTTTGACGGCACACCAATGGATTGTGGAAGGGCAATGCATAAACTGAGAAAGCTTGTTAATGGCAAACGAGACATCGGGGCGAGTTAAGGAAAGATATTGCAACGATCCAAGAGCTTGGCGATATAATGTGGCATCAGCTGGTGGTGAACCATCAGAGAGTTTAAGAGCTTCATTGGTGGCAAGAGGTGTAGAAACCGACTTAGCATCAGCCATATGAAAACGATTCAAAAGATCTCGTATATATTTCTTTTGAGATAGAAAGAGACATGTTCCTGTATGGTGAGCTTCAATTCCAAGAAAATAAGAAAGCCTGCCAAGGTCCTTGAGAGAAAAACGTTGCGCAAGTGTGGAGATGAAGTCATTCATATGAGAACTTGACGATCCAGTAATTATAATATCATCAACATATACCAACAAATAAGGAACTGAGGTAGAAGAGTGAAGCATAAATAAGGATATGTCAGAGAGAGAGTTTGTAAACCCTTTGGAGATAAGGAACTGACGGAGTTCATGATACCAAGCACGAGGAGCTTGTTGAAGTCCATACATGGCTTTTCGTAATTTACAAACATGATTAGGAAGATCATGTTTGATAAATCCAGGAGGTTGTTCCATGAATACTTCCTCAGTTAGAGATCCCTGCAAGAACGCGTTATTCACATCAAGTTGACGAAGTTGCCAATTGTTAGTCACAGCAATTGAAAGGAGTATCCGAATTGTTGCTGGTTTAACAACAGGACTATAAATTTCATCGAAATCAATTCCAGGGCGTTGATGAAACCCTTTTGCTACTAAACGAGCTTTATAACGAGCTATCGACCCATCAGGATGCCTCTTAATTTTGTAGACCCACTTACACCCAATAATGTTTTATGTTGGAGAACAGGGAATCAAAGTCCATGTATTATTGGAAATTAAGGCATTATATTCATCATTCATGGCTAGGCGCCATTCTTGATGTTTTTGAGCTTGTTTATAGGTTGTAGGTTCGGTATTAGGAGTGACGATGGTAGAGTGGAGACTAAGGATTTGTTTTGGCTTTATAATGTTATTACGCAGTCTAGTGTTATAATGATGGGGTTCGTTAATAGTGGGAGAAGAATTAGAGGGTATAGGAGACGAAGTACTTACCTGTGAAGGATTGGATGCATCATTGGGTTGAGACATGGAGGAGGTGTGTGCAGATGAGTGGTCTTGGTCCGAAGTTGGTCCTCGTTGCAAATCAGTGTGATGATTTTGAGAAGGCTGGTTTTCCATCGAGGGCGTGGAAGAGACAGGAATTTGAGATATATGTGGGGTGGCTGTGAGAGATGGTGATGAGTGATTAGGTGAAGTAGAAGTACGAGCATGCGTGATATTTGGTTTAAGTGACCATGCATTACTGAGAGATGGCATAGTGGGCGAATTAGGTTTATTAAATGGCAAAATATTTTCTACGAAAATCACATGTCGGGAGATAAATATTTTGTTCATAGATGGATCAAGACAGAGATATGCGTGATGAGGAATTGAATAACCGACGAACACGCAAGGACGAGATCGTGGTTCTAATTTATGAGAGAAGTATGGTCGTAGCCATGGATAGCAAAGACAGCCAAATACTTTGAGTGAGGAATAGTTTGGTGTTTGCTGAAAAAGGTGAAAGTAAGGAGATTTAATATCTTTGACAGGAGAAGACATACGATTAATGAGGTAAACGGAAGCTTGAAAGGACAAGGATCAATACTTGAGTGGAATCGATGCACGATGAAGTAAAGTGAGCGCAGTTTCAACAACGTGGCGATGTTTGCGTTCAGCAGTACCAACATGTTCAGGAGTATGAGGGGGAGATTTAAGATGTTGAATGCCGGTCCGAGAGAGAAAATGACCAAGGCTAATTGCTTCGCCACTTCCATCTGTATAAACGGTTTTTATTGTGGTCGTGAAATAATTTTCTGTGAGGGTTTTGAATCTTTCGAAAATTGAGCTAACATCGGATTTATTTTTCATTGGATAAAGTCAAGAGTATTTGGTAAAATAGTCCACAAAAATAACATAATAATGAAAATTATCGAAAGAAGCAAGGGGAGCAGGGCCCCAAACATCCATAAAGAGAACTTCAAGAGGTTTTGAGGGATTTAACGTAGAAATTTCAAATGGAAGTTTGTGACTTTTATTACATAAGCATGAATTGCAAGGTAAAAAAGAGTTGTTTTTAATTAAAGGCAATTTATGAGAAGAAATAATCTGATGTAAGACTTTAGAAGACGGGTGGCCGAGACGGCAATGCCAAAGATGAATCGAGGAAGGAGAGTTGGATTTTATTGCTGTGAAACTAGAATGTTTTGTTGAAGAAGGTGGATTACTGATGCATGCTGGCCACTCATATACATTTCCTCTACTCCGGCCTCGCACCAAGGATGCCCCCGTGAATAGATCCTTCACAAGAAAGAAACAAGGAAAGAATTCAATAGAGGTGTTATTTTGAGAGCAAAATTGAGAGACAGAAAGGAGATTTCTTTTTATATTAGGTGCACACAAAACATTATTAAGATTGAAGGTGGAATCACAAGAATTAAGAGTAGTGAATCCTATATGAGTGATAGGGACGTTATTACCATTGCCGACCATGATATCGTCATTACCGCCATACTCGGAGTGAATAGAAAGATTTTGCAGGTCTGAGGTGATGTGATGAGAGGCCCCGGAGTCAACTATCCAACTTGATGGATTGTTCGAGGTTTCGTGAGTTGTGAAATTTGCTTGTGCCCAATTCGTCGGCGGCGGACGTGATCGGCATACCTTGGCAACATGCCCAGGTTTATCGCAAAGTTGGCAAACTACTCGAGTTTGGTTCGTGGTGTAGTTGGACCTCCAAATCTGATTCGATTGGTTTGGTGAGAGTTCCGGAGTGTTGCTGGAGTAGGTACGATTTCCACGAATGCCATGGAGATTGTGATGGAATCTATTGTTGGTGATTCCTCCGGATGGAAATTGACGATGGGTGGTGATGAAGTTTCCCCGTGTACCTTTCCTGTTTTGGTGCTTTTGTGAGAATTGTGCAATAATGGAAAGTGCATCGGCTGTGGAATCTGAATTCTTGAGACTAGTTTCATAATCAACAAGCTTCTCCACCAGTTCCTCGAAAGAGATCGGCGACTCTCTTGCTCGTAAGGCGGCTTTGATTTCTTTGTAGTTATTAGTGAGACCATTAAGAGTGTGAACGACGATTTCCCCGTCGCTCAAATCATGGCCGATCATAGCAAGATCATCAATAATAGTTTTAACGGATTGCATGTACTCAGAAATACTTTTTCCATCTTGACTGACCTTGGTGGGGGAATCGATTAAACCAACCATTCGAGTGTTGGATTTGTTGGCGTAGGTTGTTTTGAGTTTGTACCAAGCTTCTTCGGCATTTTTGCACCGAGACACAATAGGTCCTGCTGGGCCTGTCAGAGCCGTTTGAATAGAAAGGAGTAGCAATCGATCTTGACGAATCCAAATTTTATAAGCTGGATCTTCAGATGGTGGACAAGGACGAGTTCCATCAACGAAACCCATAAGGTCATAACCAAGTAGAAGGTTGGTCATTTGTGAACTCCATATGGAGTAATTTCCTCCTTTGGAGAGTTTGTTGGGGATAAGAGAGGCGGTATTGATAGATATAACATGAGGAAGAGAGGATGATTGGGAGTCAGCCATAACCGTGACTTTTTCCATGGTTTGGAGAGAGGAGGAGAAAAGGGGAAAAAAAATGTTTTTTAGGGCTCTGGTACCATAAAGAAATGGTATTTTACCAGTATGTTTTATTCCATTCTTTTACAAGATATATATACACGTAGGTTTTTATCTATAAAAGGAAAATGGATCCTAAATAATTATTATATATATATATATATATATATATATATATATATATATATATATATATATATATATATATATATATATATATATATATATATATATATATATATATATAATATTACATAATGAATGGAGTAATATTTGCTATATATATATATATATATATATATATATATATATATATATATATATATATATATATATATATATATATATATATATATATATATATATATATATATATATATATATATATATATATATATATATATATATATATATATATATATATATATATATATATATATATATATATATATATATATATATATATATATATAATATTACATAATGAATGGAGTAATATTTGCTGCCAAACAATCTGCTGCATAATTGTATGTATCAATTATGCCTTGACAATAGCATCTCTTAATTCCATTGATCTATCAATAATGGAGTGAAATATCTCATTGCCATACGTTACGATTTTAATATATAATAATTCAGTTTGAATCTTTTATAAGATCCATGCAATTTTTTGATAGTGTAATGGAATGAAATATCTCATTGCAATAAGTTACGATTGGTAAATGGTAATGATCAAAAACTTCGGTATCCCTATCAATTTAATGCCACCCTGAGTCTTGTGTGAAGTAGTTTCACACTTTAGCTTATTCAATTATTTTAGTGTTAACATGGTTTTTCTAGAGACGTGCTATTTCTATTCTCAAAATATCTTATTTCACCACCAAATTAAATATATTTCCCATTTTACCCCTTCTTCTTTCACCTATAGTTTTTTATAAATTTATAAACCGTCTACCACTATACTAATTAAAATACTTATAAAAAAACCCCACCATTTTCATTGGAAATCTCACCCTTTCCACCTTAAGTAAGTAATACTTTGGTCAAAGAAAATTATTTTCGAAGATCAAAAAGAGCATGATTTCACGTTTTTTGAGAAATAAATTAAGAGTGCATATGGAAGGTCCTTAATTTCCTCCGAAATTGGCCAATTTGGCTTAATATAATTATGTTTCCTAAATAAAAAAGAATTACATAATCAGTAGGTCATCTGATATGGAAGTTTTAATATCTTCTAATAAATATTTCATTGCAAAAAAAAAAATAGATATAACTTAGAACACATGAGATTAAGCGAATATAAAGAAGGATAGTAGATTATAAATTTGAGAGGTATTTATGATATTTTATAATATTTGGTGGTGAATTGAGTACTTTGGAGGTGGAAATAGCACGACTCTTTTTCTATTGAAAATATTGTGTAAAGAAATCATTCTAAATTTATCATAACATATTGTACCGTATTGATTTTTTTTTTTGTGGGTAATAAAACTCAATATTATTAAAATGGTATTACCGTATCATATCAAAAATTATTAATGACTAAATCTTATTTAATAATTAATTTATTGTACATAAAGAGTGCAGATAGCATGTTAAGCAACTATTATTAGTTAAAATTAATTAATACTGTTTAGGTATGTCAAAACTATTTTGAATGCTTTTATTAATGATGATATACATTATGTTAGGGATTCTTTGAGAAAATCCCCTTATTATTTCTTTTAATGGAGATGCCCAAAATATTTCTCTCCATTTGAAAAAAATTCATACCCATTTTTAATCATTATGTTTTACAGCTTTGCCCCCGACGTCATCACTGCGTCACGCGCTGGTCATCAGCGATTTTTTTTTATGTATCAATTTTATTAATCGACTATGAAGCATAGTCGATTAATGAAATTCTTTAAAAAAAAATTTTCTATATCAGATATATTGATCGACTATGATGAAGCAGAGTCGATTAAGTATCTGCTACTAAAAATAACAATCACAACTGCAAAAAAAATGCAAAATCAACTATATTTTTCAAAAAAATATACAAACGTTATAATTGATTTATACAATTGGAATCAATAAACAAAAAATCCAAAAAATCCAAAAAAACAAAAAACAAAAAAAAAAAAAAATGGAGTCCATCAAAACACAATTTGGAGAGAATTTGGTTTTGCACGTGTATTAACTTCAAGCTAGATCGCTGACCTCTTCCACACCAAATTCTTAACGCATTGATGTTCATGAAAATGAAAAAAATACAAAAACCCCAAAACACTTCCACTCCCAGATTTTCACAATAACGCTATATCTCTATCATCTTTAGCTTCCACTTCTACTCCCCGATGCCTCAGAAAGATAATTGCTAGTTTAGGGCGAAGTGTTTTGATATCGCAAGTTTTTGCCTTAAACCAAATATCTGTATTGTCTACAGCATGACAATATACCCACAAGCAGACAACAAGCCGCAATCAAGATTCCCATCCTGCTGCCTGCATCCATGAATTTATTGAGCTTCCGATTGTATCTCCAACCCAGACCTTCTTTCAATCACCTTGCTGTAAAACGAGGCCTACGAAAATAAAATATTATATTAGTCTACAACAAAGCCAGTACATAAAGAATAACTAATTACAAGAATATGGGCTTACGGCATAATTCGAAATTCCTGGGAAAGTCGGAGAATTGTCTATGGAGTTCCAATGGTAAATACAGTTATCTGTAGGGTTCAGAACAAGCAGGAACCAATGTTCACTGGAATTGATAGGTATCATGACATACTTTTTACAGAAGATATTTGTTGTGTTTAGCTTGTGAAACGCCATCGTTCCAAAAATAGTAAATTCATTGAGAAGACAATCAAACTTGGCATCGCCCATTTTTTCTACGTCCACCTGAGGTCGCGACAGTAACTCTTGCTACGAAACATAATAGAAAATATTAGATAAACATTGTAATGTATGCAACATATTTGTTAAACCACTATGTACCTGAGCAGGGGAGTCAAGGTAATCAATCTCATGTCCATGGTGGTTCATCATAGATTCGGAACATAATAGATTCAAGTACAAATCTATGTGTTCCGCACTCAGCAAGTCATCAAATAAAAGTTCGCACATATGCCTTCCCGTCAATTGATGTGGGCCTCTCTCACTACAATAAGAGATGAACACATACTATTGGATAAGTAAACTTATACTATGTACAAAGTTACTACACACTATAACATGCAGTCAACATGTACTATTGGATAAGTAAACGTATACTATGTAGAGAGTTACTACATACTATAATATGCAGTCAACATGTACTATTGGATAAGTAAACTTATACTATGTACAAAGTTACTACATATTATAACATGCTGTCAACATGTACTATTGGATAAGAAAACTTATACTATATATGTACAAAGTTACTACATATTATAACATGCAGTCAACATATACTATTGGATAAGTAAACTTATACTATGTACAAAGTTACTACATACTATAACATGCAGTCAACATTTACTATTGGATAACTAAACTTATACTATGTACAAATGTACTATATACTATAACATACAAACAACATGTACTATGTATTCACTTGACATATACCATTTAAGACATCAACATGTACTATCAAGGTGGTTGTGCTCTTACCCTAAATCAACACTTTCCAAGAACAGATCCAACAATATCCTCTCTTCTTCGGATATTTGATCACGACGTACGTAGTCCTTTCTTCCCCGGTAATAATCGGCATTCTATATAACGAATAAATCACACCAATTATGATATAAAATAATAATAATGTAATACTAATATAATCATAAATACCTTGATCACATGGACTGAAACCGAAATCTTGAACACAGGAACTTGTTCACGACCACGTCCTCGTCCTCGTCCACGTGGAACTATGGCCTTTGACTTTGGGCATGTGGAACTTTCCTCTCCCTCATTGCTCTCTCCTTGATTTCTCTCTCCTTCTATTATCTCATCTACTTCATTTTGTTCTCCTTTCCCTTCTATCTCCTCTACTCCATTTTTTTCTCCTTCTCCTGCTCTCGCTTCTTTTTTCCTTCTCTTCTGTCTCTTTCTCTTTCTCTGTCTCTGTCTCTCTCTCTTTTTCCGTATCTCTCTCTTTCACTCTCTCTTTCTCTTTCTCTTTCTCTTTCTCATTCTCCTTCTCTTGTTCTTGCTCTTTCTCTTTCTCTTTCTCTATCTCTTTCTCTTTCTCTTCCTTTTTCTTTCCCTTTACTGGTGCTGATGTTTTACTTTCACTCTGCATTTTTTTCTTTATTTTTTTCCTATGTTACTCTTACATTCCCCCTCTTCTTTTTTTTTTGTTATTCTTCTTTTGATCTCCTTCATCGGGTATTGCCTCTAGAGAATGATGCTGCAACTAAAATAAAACAATAGTATGGAACATGTTATACAATAGTATTATATTAGTTGACATATAGTACGTTCCAATTTGAATGGAAGTATGAAGTTTAGGGTTTATTGTATTAATAACTTACAGGTGTTGCATTCATGTCTTCAATCTCCTCTTCACTACTTTCATAACTTATTTCAACAAACCTATCAACATTTATCATTGGCTTTGTTGCAACAACTGGACCAGAAATTATTTCCAAAACTGGAACACATAAAATGGTATAACCTAATAAACGTAAAAAAATTGTTAGCGAATACCTAATACATTATATATTTTGTAACTCACAGTGTTACCTGTACATTTCTTATCTGATCAAAAAGCAACCTAGCTGCTTCTTCATCGGTTGGGATTTTGCTGTCTTGCCACCAGAAAAACCGGGGAAATTTGTAAATACTCATGGAAACCCCCAATAACTTGATCCTTTCATGCACCCATGCCTGCTCATTTTGAAATCACTATTAATTGGTATATTCAATATAACATAATATATATTCACTATTAGATATCACTTACTAATAAGCCGATAGTGTATCCATCAAAATACTTTAATCCCCCCTCAAATACATCTCCATATTCTCAACAAGAAAATCATATACCAACTTTCCCCATGCAAGACCCTAAAACCTCCAAATTTTCTACATGCGGATAAATCCACCTTTCTAACGTTTTGTTACCCTTTGGAAGTAGAACAATATTAAATAGATAAATAGTGTACAATCTACTGAAATCTTCAACAGATTGTTGATCGGTCATAACTGCATAGGCCTCCAGTTTAAAAGCAATAAATGGCATCGTAACTAATGATAATTTACCATAAAAAATACGTGTAATGAAATCAGTGTCTCTGCCATCCATATTCACATCGAACGGTACGCCTTCGTATTGCAGCCCTAATACGATAGATAATTGTTGTGGAGTGAATTTCAATCGTATAGTATTTCCCCCAAAACAAAAGGCCCGATCTTTTACATTGTACGCTTGCACAAGAGACGCAACCCTATTCAAGCTGTGGTTCATTTTAGGCATGTCCATGTAGTGATATAAGGGATTTTTATTCAATTCTTCATAATGTTGTTTCTTCATCAGCTTCTTCACACCTTCCATAGTTTCTTGAAAATCGATCGGTGTGCACCTGCAGCCTATTGCTAGCTTGCTGCTATCTTCTTTTACATCAATTCCTGCAATTACATACACATAAAAGTACAATTATAACAAATACAATGTACTATAAAGTTCCACTACTAGTACTTCCGGTAATTTCGTTCAATACCATCAAAATGCAGTAGCAATACCATTGTTGCATATGACACATACTACATTACAATCAAACATTATACTTCCAGTACCCTTTGTCAATACCATCCGAATGCACTAGCAATACCATCCAAAGACACTAGCAATACTATTGTGGCATATGACACATACTACAGAACCATCAAACATTGTACTTCTAGTATCCTGTGTCAATACCATCCAAAGTCACTAGCAATACCATTTAAAGGCACTAGCAATACTATTGTGGCATATGACACATACTACAGAACCATCAAACATTATACTTCGAGTATCCTGTGTTAATACCGTCCGAAGTTAAGAGCAATATCATTATTACATATGACATATACTACAGAACCATCAACCATCATACATCAAACCCTCGTTAGGACTAAATGCTTTAGGGACAGTACTTCGAGTACCATGTGTCAATACCATCTAAATGCACTATTAATACCATTACTGCGCATGACACATACTATAAAACCAGTACGAAAAATACAATAAGCCTCTTTCCCATATCCTATATGAAACCCTTGTTAGGACTCAAAATGCTTTGGGGACATGCTAATGTCACCTAAGAATAATACCCATGAGGAAAGTGTTCCAAAATCATGAAATTCGACAACAAATAAATGATCTATGCAAACCCAAACAACAAAACAACATATATTAGAACCGATTTAATGATTAGGGGAAACACCGAATAAAGTCGAGGCATAATGCCCACGAGTGGATATGTTCAAAATCATGCAATTCTACAATAAATAAACCTTTTTGCAAACTTAAGCAACACCCAAATGGGTCTGTTTCCAAGAAAATGAAAAAAAAAAAATCAAACCTTGTTGTTTACTCTGCTTCACCATTGTCTAGAAATGAGTTTGTTTATTTTTATTTTTCCTTTCGTTTTATTATTTTTCTGCGTCTTTGTTGATTCTTCCTTCTTTGTTGTTTCTTCCTTCATTGTGTTTCTTTGTTCTTTGTTTCTTCTCTATTGCTTCTTTGTCTGGAAATGGGTATAAACTGATAACGGTGGTTTTTTCTGCGCCTTTTTAGCTTTTTTTCTTGTTGTTTGATTTTTGAAATGTAACGGGCAAAGAGCGTGTAACACAAACGGCGTGTTGGAGGTTGAAAATAAATTATGTAAAATTAGTATAAAGTAAAGGGTATTTTAGTATTTGCACAATTCATTAGGAACTGATCTGCATGTTAGGCGCGTAAGTAGGGACTGATTTGCTTGGAGAAACTACCTAATGACTGATCAGTGTTTTGTGTTTTAAATTAGGAATTTATCCGTAGTTTTCCCATTAATTAATAAAGATTTAAATGTAGGGTCTATTAGATATAACCCTTAAACATTCAAATAATAGGGGTAGACCCAAACTTAAATTTGCCATTTTGATAAAAACCCAAACTTTTCTAAATTACATAATTACCCTCAATCAAATCCCACAAATCCCGTTGCTTTACCTTTTGAAATAATATCAAATATCTCCCTATTTTCCCGTTAAAACACTATCACCACAAACCCACTATCAAAAAAACTGCAAAAACTCCCAAAAGCAGAAATTTGCACGGGCGTGGATCGGCGATTTTTCTGCACTCCGACCAAGCCTCCGTAGGTACGTCGTCGCCACTCGCTGAATCGCTATCATCCATCGATTTGTTGATATGTTTTTGCTAAATCGACTATCACGTTTGTGTAATTGCAGATCTGTTATAATCGCATACCGAATTCGAGCACTAAATCAATGATATTGCAACAATTGATGGGCAGGACATCCACCAGAAGTGATATCGTCGTTGGCCGCCGTCGCCGTCGCAGTCACTGCTCCAATCTAGGGTTACTCAAATCTAGGATTACTCAAATTTAGGGTTTTGATAATTCTTCGGCCCATAGTTGATTAACGAGATGCATAGTCGAATTACATCTGTATTAATATACTATCCCATATCATTTAATAGACTATCCCACTGGTATAATTTTACTATGGATCTCGTTAATCGACTATGGGCCGAAGAATCATCAAAACCCTAGATTTGAAAAGTGACGGCGGCAGATTTGTGTTTTAAAATTAATAGACTATCTCATATCTTTTAATAGACTATCCCATGTATCTAATTCGACTATGGGTTTAGTTAATTGACTATTGGAAAAATAATAATATATATGGAAACTGAATAATATGTTTGTTTGAAATACTAATCAATTAGGGTAATTTTCCTTATTATATGAAAACGATTAGGGTAAATAATAATATAAATATGAAAAAATAATAATATATATGGAAACTGAATAATATGTTTGTTTGAAATACTAATCAATTAGGGTAATTTTCCTTATATCATGTAATAGACTATCTTATTGATCTAATTCGACTATGGATCTCGTTAATCGACTATGGATGCCGTATTATTCAACCACATAGTATATTAATAATTTCAATGTAGTACATTAATCTGCTATGATAGTATATTACGGTTATAGTAGTGATATGAAATTGTGTTACAAACAATATACCACTGAAATGACAAGAACATTGAGAACAACACCAACGTAAAGTATTCCAACATAACCAATAAAATAGTACATTAATAATCTCATAATTTCAATCTAGGGTTTTGATAAAATACATAAAACACATCATAACACAATCAACCCAATATGTCGAGTTAAAAAACTCTAGTACATTAATAATCTCATAATAGTATAATAAAATGATAATGGTAGTATCATACGGTATTCATAATAGTATACTACTGTATTACAACGGTTTAACACTTAACCGAAGTTACCGAGCCATTACATCGTAAACACATCTTTATAGCAACCAACCCACCAAACCTCAACAAAATCCGTACGAAATTCGCCATCGAAAAAACCTAAAATCATGAAACAAAATTAAAAATGCAGAATACTAAAAAATGATTAAAAAAACTGCAAATACATTTGAATGATAATACATTAATATCATCAAAAATAAACTTAAAATGCAAAATCCATACGCTAAATTAAAAAAGACTACGAACTATATTTTAATGTACTACCCAGCACACTTAAATCGGCTGTTATAAACAAATAAACCAACTATCGATCGGGATCAAAAACATGAACTCGACCACAGCGGACAATTATTCCGATTATTGCATAAACCAACTACGAAGCTCATATAAAACAACTCTGGTCCGATCTGCGTGAACCATCCTCTTCTAACTCTGTCAATCCTCTTCCAAACAAACATCATCGGCAAAAAAAAAACGATATATATATGACGGAATAATTTTGTTAAAAAACGTTCTACTTAATAGAATCAAGTACACGACAATCATAGACATTGAGCGAAAAATAAAAATGAATAACGCATTCATACTCGCTTAACAACGTCCAACAACAAACGCTCAAAAATCGATCCTATTTACACGACGGTGCAGAAATCTTCACAGACGATAAAACCCGCTGGAACGATGAAGAGAATCTTCAAAAAATATTGTACACGATTTGATATAACGGCCAATGATCTCACGTAAATTTATTCCGTGATTTTATGCAACGTATCAGCAAATCTCAAATCACGTATTAAAGGAAATAAATGCCGTTTAATAATAAAACAGGGGTATTAAAGGGAAATTATATAATATATTTTGCCAAGTTGGCAAAATTGGGTGTATCTCAAAAAGGGGAAAAAAAAATGGATCTACCTCATTAGAAAATATGAACAAGGGGGTTATCCCTAATAAACCTTTAAATGTATTTGTATTGTCAATATTCCGTAAAGAAATCTTTTGTTTAGCCAGTTTAGGGGTTGAATATGTGTATAGCCGAAGCCTTTAGATTCTTGTGGTAATTCCAAATGAATACAATACAAAATAAAATTAGAAGAAAAAAAGTAATAATAATAAATAAAACATAAACAAGAAAGAAGCCCTCACCGCTTTACAATACTCATTTCCACTCTACAAAAAGAGAAAAAAAAAAACAACCAACACCAAAAACACACAAACCAAACCAAACCAAACCAAAACCAATCAAACACTTCCATTTTCTCTCTCTACATTTTCTCACTCCAAATTTTACATTCACCAATGGCCGCCACCCACACTCACCACCACCACCCTTTCCTCCTCCGCCTCCTCTCATTCCTATGCTTCCTTCTCCTCTCCGCCGCCGACGACTCTGCCGTCATGTCAAAGCTCCTCTCCTCCCTCTCCTCCGCCCCCACCGGCTGGTCCTCCTCCACCAGCTTCTGCAAGTGGCCCGGCGTCACCTGCGACTCCTCCTCCTCCGTCGTAGATCTCGACCTGAACTCCGCCGCCATCTCCGGCTCCCTCCCGCCGGAGATCAACCAGCTCTCCCAGCTCCGAACCCTCGCCGTCCAGAAAAACTCCCTCACCGGAACCCTACCCTCTTTCCAGAACATGACTTCCCTGGAAGCAATCTATCTCGACAACAACGCTTTCACCTCCCTCCCTGAAAACTTCCTCCTAGGGCTCACGAATCTCCAGACCTTCAGTATCAGTGAAAATACCAAACTACCCCCATGGCAAATCCCTTCCTATCTAACCGACAGCGCGAATCTCGCCGGATTTTTCGCTAGCAACGCCAGCCTCACTGGTACAATCCCCGATATTTTCGGCTCCTTCCCCAATTTGCAGAACTTGAGATTGTCGTACAACAATCTGACCGGATCTCTACCCGGATCCTTTTCCGGGTCGGAGATTCAAAATCTATGGCTCAACAATCAGCAGCAAGGCTTATCCGGCACAATTGATGTTTTAGCAAACATGACTCAGTTGGCTCAGGTTTGGCTACACGCGAACTCGTTCTCCGGCGGTATTCCCGATTTATCGAAATGCACAAATCTATTCGATTTACAGCTGAGGGACAATAGGTTCACCGGTGTGATACCACCATCTTTGATGAATTTGCCCAGTCTTCTCAACATCACTCTGCAGAACAATAAGTTGCAAGGCCCTTTTCCGCAGTTTCCGACGAAAGTTAAAACGACAATCGGTACTACGAATAGCTTCTGTTTAGATGCGCCCGGGCCGTGCGATCCACAGGTGAGCACGCTTCTTGATATTGCCGGTGCACTCGGTTATCCGATGCCGTTGGCCGAATCCTGGAAAGGGAACAATGCTTGTAGTGGCGATTGGAGATTTATCAACTGCGATTCGCAGTTGAAGAATGTAACGTCTGTGACCATGGGGAGGCAGGGGTTTTACGGTACTATTTCGCCCGCCTTTGCGAATCTGGCTTCTCTGAGGAGTTTGGTGCTGAGCGATAACCACCTCACCGGTGTCATTCCTAGTGAATTGACCGCTTTGACCCAGCTCCAGACTCTCGACGTGTCGAACAACGACTTGTCCGGACCTATTCCCGTTTTTCCTTCCACCGTGAAGTTTACTTCCACGGGTAATTTAATGCTCGGCAAGAATGACACTAGCGGTGGAGGAGGTGGCGGGGGCGCACCACCTGGCGGCCCAAATAGAAGCTCCACTGCATCGTCGAAAAAGTCGGTTTCGCCTGCACTGATTGCTGGTGTGGTGATAGCAGTTTTGGTATTCGTCGGAGTTCTTTTGTTCGTTTCGTACAAATGCTACATCAAGAAACGGCACACGAGATTCGGGCGGGTACAGGGTTCAGAGAATGGCAAAGAATTAGTCAAACCGAATTCCACAAACGGCACGAATGGATTCGGTGGGTCCCACAGTGAGCTGCAGAGCCAGAGCAGTGGGGACTACAGCGAAGCAATTTCTTCATTTGAAGGTGGTAACGTCAGCATATCCATACAAGTACTCAGGCAAGTGACGGACAATTTCAACCCGAAGAATGTTCTAGGAAGAGGAGGATTCGGGGTCGTGTACAAAGGCGAACTGCACGACGGTACCAAAATAGCCGTCAAGAGAATGGAATCCGGAGCGATGGGCACAAAGGGGATGAACGAGTTCCAAGCGGAAATCGGGGTTCTGACGAAAGTCAGGCACAGGCATTTGGTTGCACTTCTCGGATATTGTGTTAACGGGAACGAGAGGCTCTTGGTTTACGAGTACATGCCACAAGGAACATTAGGGCAGCATTTGTTCGAGTGGGAGGAACTTTGCTATCAGCCACTTACGTGGAAACAGAGGGTGACTGTGGCTTTGGATGTCGCGAGAGGAGTCGAGTATCTTCACAGTTTGGCGCAACAGAGTTTCATTCATAGAGATCTCAAGCCCTCGAATATACTTCTTTCCGATGATATGAGAGCCAAGGTTGCCGATTTTGGATTGGTTAAGAATGCGCCCGATGGGAAGTACTCTCTCGAGACTAAATTGGCTGGCACGTTCGGCTATCTTGCACCGGAATATGCTGGTGAGTCTTTTGCTATCTTGCTCCCTTTTTTTCATGTTGAATTTGCAAACGTTGCCACTTTTTTTTTTATGCATTATAGTGTCGTAAGATTGAGTCCTAATTTGAAGCTGCAATTACGTTTTAGGTGTTGGATATTCAATTTGAATGGAAATTTAGTTTTAATTTTTTTATCGAGGCGAATAGTGACTAAAGAAATAATTTTTTGAGTAACGACACTTATTTTTACATTCATCGGCAAAAAGTATTGTCACTATGTTCGTCACTACTCCCTTCGTCTCAGTTTAAATGTCGTTTTGGTTTGTTGCGCGAGCACACATTAAGAAAATCAATAAATGCGTATAGATTATAGTAAAAGTATATAGAAAATCGCTAAATTATCCTTGACATTAATTGTTTTGTTTCCCAATTAATTAATTAGGATTGATAAAGGGTAAAATTGAAAATAATGCAATTAATGCTTCGTTGAAAATCTAAAATGACAAATAATTTAGGATAGAGTGAGTACTATTTTTGGACTAATGGTATCACTAATTCTATGTAGTAACAATAAAAGAGATTTAATGACATGAATTATTAGTGATAACATACAAAATGTTATCCATTAATGTAAAGCATTTAGTATTAATGTAAGCATTTAGTGATAACTACTTTTGATATTTTGGCCTTTATTAAGGTGTCACTAATGCCATGTTTTTCTTGTAGTGAACCAATTGGGTTATCAATTATCCATAAAAAGAATGGAATAGATTTCTCATGTGACGATTTACGCAATGTATTTCTTTCTTTCGTATATATATCTAAAAAACAATTTCGATTTTTGCTGTCAACAGCCACCGGAAGAGTTACAACAAAAGTTGACGTATACGCATTCGGAGTAGTTCTAATGGAAATAATCACCGGTAGAAAAGCACTCGACGAAACAATGCCAGACGAGCGGTCCCATTTAGTCACATGGTTCAGAAGAGTCCTTATCAACAAAGACAACCTCAGAAAGTCCATCGACTCGCTTCTCGATCCTGACGAAGAAACTTATGAGAGCATATGCAAGGTTGCTGAGCTGGCAGGTCACTGCACGGCCCGCGAGCCGTTCCAAAGGCCCGAAATGGGCCACGCGGTTAATGTGTTGGGCCCGCTTGTCGAGCAGTGGAAGCCTTCGAAGCCCGAGGAAGATGATGGTGGGATCGATTTGCACATGAGTCTTCCTCAAGCGCTTCGAAGATGGCAGGCGGATGAAGGAACTTCTAGAATGTTCGATGATTTGTCTTTTAGTCAGTCGCATTCGAGCATCCCTTCGAGACCTACGGGATTTTCGGAGACTTTTAGTTCCACAAATGGTAGATGACTTTTAGAGCAAGGTAAGTCCTCACACGGTCGAGTCTATTTTGAATTTACGAAATGTTGTTGGAAATTGTATTTAATTTATTTATTTATTTTTTTTTTTTTTTTTTTTTTTTTTTTCTTTTTTGACTTGAACTTGTCATCTTTGTAGTTGTAACAAAAACCTCAGTTTTTATAGAGATGTTTGTTGTGTTTGATTGAATTGTTTTATTTGGAGCCTAATATTAGTAACGGTCAAACACGATCAATGTAGGAAATATATCGAACACTTGTGTTTTCAGTAGCTTCAAAGATTTTATTAATGTTACACTAGTTGGATTTCTCTCGTTTATATGCTACCATACACGTGTATGCATTCGTTATATACTCCGAATAATTTTCTACTTCGATTTTGGAGACAATCAACACACTCAGTGTTGGATAATAATGTTGGTTGATTTGACAATTAAGAGGAGGTTTTAATGCCTTGTCTGGCTCTTGAGATGCAGATAATATAGATTTTTTAAATTATATTTATATATAGTAAAATGCATATGATAAATGAAATTACTGATTTATCCTTGTAGAAATGCATAATTCCAGGCTGTAGTGGAGAGAAAAGGTTGACAATAGAATATATGGCCAGTAGATTAATTAATTGTTGTGGACCAAATGTAAAGAAAGAAAGAAAAGCGTGTGAAGGAATTTGCTGTAACTAAGCTGGCTAAAGGTTTGATTCTTAATTCTTATTAGGGCTGGCAATCGGGCCGTGTGAGCCGAGCCTGGGTCGGCTCAAGCTCATATACCATCGGGCCTCATTATTATAGGCTCAAGCTCAAATACCATCGGGCCTCATGCCTATAGGCTCAAACTCGGCTCACGCATTTTTTCGGGCTTCGGGTTTATATCGGGCTTATATCGAGCAATAAACAAATTACATATTTTACAACTTTGCAGTCGACATATTAAAGAAAAACAAAAAAAAAACTTCGCAGTCTAAGCGAAAAATCTAGACTATTCATTGAAAATTAAAATAAGCTTAAAAATAAATAAATAAATAAAAAATCATAGTCTGTTCATTAAAACAAATAAAACTTAATATTGCAAATATTTAATCCTTAATTAATTATACTAAAAAATGCATCCGAGGCCGAAATGAAAAAAAAAATCATAAAATAAAATAACTAGAAGCAATTCTAAATGTCCTTAACTCTTTTCGAAAATCTTGAGACCTAAAATAAAAAAAAGGACAATATATATATATATATATATATATATATATATATATATATATATATATATATATATATATATATATATATATATATATATATGTATAGTCGGGCTTTATTCGGGTCGAGCCATGGTAAGCTCAGACTCGGCTCATAGTTTAATCGGGTTTAATAAAACGGCTCAAACTCGGCCCGGCTAGAGTTCATTATTTAATTTATATTTTTTTTTCATTTAAATATAAATAATTTTTAATAAAAAAATAAATGATTTTAATAAAAGTTAAATAATTAAAAAGAAACCTAAATGAGCTCGATCAAAAAAAAAAAAAAACTCGATGAGCTCGAGCTCGACAATATGGACTCGAGCTCGAGCTCGGCAATATGGACTCGAGCTCGAGCTCGAGCCGGTCAAAACAGTCGAGATGGGCTCGTTCATACCCCTAATATGACATACATTCCTAATTTTCTTATCCCTATATTGCCCTTATACCTTAACTATTTTAACCTACATATTTACGTTTCTTGTACTAGATTTATATCTTTTTGTTCTTCTCTCTTTCTTTTTCTCTGCCCCATCCCCTCTGTCGATGTCTTTCTTTCTCGCTCTTTTTCTCTCCCTCTCTCGCTCTTGCTTTATTTCTCTCTTTCTCGACCGATCTCCATATAGTTATCCTTTTGTTTTTTTTTTTTGTTCAGGCACGAATATTTTGTGCCCCTATGCTCGGAGACGCAACGGGGGTGGCAGAGTGGGCTGCTGCGAATCTGAAGGTGGTGGCGGTGGATCTGAAAGAGACGACTGAGTGGGTAACGGAGTGGCGGTGATCTATTGTGGTGGTGGATCTGAAGACGGCGACAATGTGGGTAGCTGAGGCGGCATCGGTTTTGGGAAGAGATGAGTCCAACTATGTGAGTCGAATGAACATGGTCGTGGCCCGTTATGTGGGGATGGTTATGGCAATAGCGGAGGCGGTGGCTATGTCATTGGCGGCGAGGGTGGCAGATCTAGGGTTTCATAGTGAATAAAGGCGGCTATGGTGGCTAGGGTTAGGTGGCTGCGAGTGGTGGCAGCTGCTAGCTAGGTTTTGGCGACCGTTGGGAGTTATTTTGCTTCTAGGGTTTGTAACAATAAATCATAGTAGACCATAATACATTGTAGTATATCATAGTATAGCATAGTACACCATAGTATTTCATAGCCTACTACAATATCGACAACAGATAAAGTTTTTAAAAAAAAATGTAAATTGAATAAAAAAACGAAAACAATTTTTTTTTTTATAATTTTCAATATTATGTAGAAAAAAAAAAGATTTTTCTTTATGTTTTTAATAATAGTGTAAAAATGATATAATTAAATTTTTATAATAATGAAAACAATATGGAATAAAAAAAAAAAGAAAAAGACAAATGTGTTCTACGTAAAGAAAATAATAAAAAAATGCTAGATGCAAAAATAAAAATGTTAAATGCCGAATTAATAATGATAAATGCAGTTTAAATATTATTTGATGTAGATTTCATTTTTTATCCGTGAAGGAAATTTTTGGAATGAAATTTATAAATGATGTGAAGCAAATGTTTAGTTAGGCTTGTCATTTAGTTCTAATAAATTTTGTCACCAGGAACCTATATCTTAATGCCCCTATTTAATAATTAATTTGTTTTTGACATAAGTTGCATGTAATTTTTGAAAATCGAGTAATATCTGTGTATATATTTGGCTCATGTCCTTTCATACATGTTCATTTCTCGACAAAATTAGCTCCATGAGAAATTTGGCCAAAAAGGTTGAAACTTAAAATGAGAAAACTAGTCCAAAAAGAAAGATCAAAAATAGATTACTTGTAAATAGGAACTTTTCGCCCAAGTTGTAAAATATCCTAAGAGCTTCCTATAAATTCTGAATTATACTTGCATTCTAGAATGTAGTTAGATTAAAACGTTCTATAGAACCACCCTCAACCGTAGTATTAAGTCAAGTGTCTCATCAATTAAGATGGTGGAGTACTATATATATAAGAGCAGAATTTCATTCGTAAACCAACCAAGTAAACTTGTATTCCATCACAACGAAATTTAGATATTATGACGTTTGATTGGGGAATATTTTTTTATAAATGTGTCAAATATAGTTTATTGGAACATGCGATATTTTTCAAACGCATTAAAATGTCAGATTACTTTCCAAGAACCAATGCGTTGCTATGCTATTGGAAGAATACAAGAAAGTAGTATGTAATGATATTGATATGGAAGAAACCTATTCCCACTACCATTACAATAGATCCCAGAAAATCACTAATTCTTGTGGAGAAACTTGTCCCACGGGCCACAAAGATAGTCCTTCTTATGATATTGTTATGCGCAATCCTGATGAAAGCCGTTCCTATGTTGATCACAACATTGTTGAGAAATCCAGTTCCCAAGACACTTCGTATCCCAAGAAATTCAAGTAATAGTCAAGTCAAGGTCTTATTTAAACGATGATGATGATTATGAGGATATATTGTCCAGTAAATGTACAGAAGTTGAAAGTTCTTTAAAGCAAAAATCAAGCTCATCAAGAGGATATTTAGGAAGGTTTCTTGTCCGAAAAACGTTGGAAGCTCTTCAAAAGCCGAGTTACAATTTTCATCTCTCAAGTTTGCACATATTACATATTTGATCCATTTGTTCTAGGTGAGCACAAAAACTGGCAAATCAACACCGAACCGAAAACCGAAAAATCCGAGCCGATATGTACCGTCCCAACTTAAAACCGCATATATATGGTAATTTTTTTAAGACAAAGAAAAATTAAAAATATCGGTTAGTGTGAAGAATAAAAAAATTACCGAAAAGATTTATACAAAATGATTTTTTTGGATATATAGTATAAATACTTACCCTAGTGTGCCTCTATTTTTTTAGCGCCTTCATGTGACATGTTTTTTTATTAATTAATTTTAGGTTGTGACGTATTCTTTATTAGTTAATTTTCGGTTGTTATTATTTGTTAATTTTCTCAAATAAATATAATGAAAGTCCAAATATATCGGTTTTATGCCAAACCGATTCGAACAAATATGAAACCAAAATCGAAAATAAACCGAATTGAATGTGAGATCTGTTCAAACTTCCCTTCAATATAATTATTAACCAAGTGTTGTTTTATTTTATATTTTCACTAGATGACATGATTAACATGCCAAATACTTTTGATTTTTATTTATTTTTTATTCAGTACTGTTTATTTAGTGAGTATCTTGTATCTATATTAAGCTAGGCATACATTTACTTCGGTATAACACTTGTTTTTCTTTTGTGAAAGTACTTGGGTGTAACATTAACTACACTAATATACAATTATTAAAAAAAGGACACTAATTAATATAAATATTTATTTATTTTGTATTTGTTCAAAACACAAAATTTCTCGCCACAGGGTCCTCATCCATTGCCCCGATAAGTATTTGATGAAGTTATGTTAAATTATGGTGACTCAACGGTAGGATAGCGGACCACACAAGGAACCAATATTTATCGGAGTTGAAAGTCTCACACTGCGGCTGCCAGGATTCGATCCTAAGAGTTTAACTGATGTTTAATGCAAGCAGTGGAGAAGTCAGTGTAGAGCGGGGGGCATGCCCCCCCTTAATTTTTTTTTTTTACTACTATATATGTATGTATAGTATTTTTCCTTTGTATTGTCCTCCTATAATAAATGGATCTAACAAGTAGGATAAAAAAAGTTGTATTATGACTTGGAACAAGGGATCATTGGGATCATTGGGAAGTGATGGATAAAAAAAACGCATTTTTTTTTTCAGGCCCGCTGCCCAGAACCTTAAGAAAATTAAGCCCATTGTGTAGCAACATCTTAGATTCACCGATGTTGGAACAATTTGGAACGATGGATCATTGGGATCATTGGGAAGTGATGGATAAAAAAACCCATTTTTTTTTTCGGAGCCGCTGCCCCCGAACCTTAAGAAAATTAAGTCCATCGTGCAGTAACATCTTAGATTCACCAGTGTTGGAACAATTTACGTTATTTTTTAATGCATATTCGGCTCCCCCAATAATAAAATTCTGGTTTCGCCACTGAACGCAAGCAAACAATATTTACGGTAAAAATGAT